ACATTTATTACTTAATGGAAACACTGCAGTTGTGAAACGGTGTTTTTTCTACATTAACAGAATATCAACAAAGTTTTGTGCACATTTGTAATGGGAATGTAGCGACTGAAAGACACTGCTGAAACTGAAACATTTATTTATGTTTTGGTATCAAATCAGTCATACATTCAGCGTGACACTAACAGTGACTTTATACAAACCAGAACATTAAATCAGTTCTCATTTTATTTTTCAAGTTTTATGCTTTGTTTTTGTTTTGTTTTTTAATAATTGAGTCATAAAGCCTGATTGAAGCTGTCACTTATCAAGCTATCACTGTTCTTTCTTTGTCTTCTCTTTGCTCTCAGCTTTGCAGACCACTCAGCCTCCCAAGGTCCTTTTTCCTCCAGAGAGACAAGACACAGTGATAGAGATCACACCTGGTAAGAAGCATCAACTCATCTTTGCTTGTTCACAGTTTAAAGTTTTAGTCCACGCTGTCCTGATTGTGGAAATAGTGTCTCTATATGGTGCAAAGTGCTCAGAGATACTGGTTTCTGTCTCATCATGGGATGTCCTGTGGGCATTCTGTCATGGACACCTCCAGTTTTACTGTGTCAACAGAACAGTGAAATCAACATCTCAGACCCAGATCGATTCTAAAGCTTGAGTTGTACCTGGTATGTGTTAATAGAAGACTGAAGTGGAGGGTTTTCACTCTGTAATGATTACACACTAGGTGAAAAAATGGCAATAATCAAATGTTTGTTGGTAATTTATGAGGTAGAACCAGACCCCCTGCTGTTTGTGTAAACAAACCACTGTTTCAGCGCTCAGGGTTTGTATCTACTCTGTAGGAATATTCCTCCACAGATCTGGGATCAGGGGAGTATCTGCGAGTCGGGAGGCTGTTTTATAGGCTGCCCATGTTTCTATATATATGTAAAACATGTCAAACTGCACACATGAACAAACTGCAGGAGGCCAAGAGTTTGATGTTTTTTATGTCTTCTTGTGTGTTTTACAAGGTTACTTATATTTATTTGTTTGCACCACATTGTCATGATTACTTCTGCCTAAGATGAGAGAGTGTTGGCTTTTGTAAATACATTTTTTAGATTTTTTTAAATTCAGTTTTTTTTAGTCAGAGGATTATACAGTATAGTTGTCTGTGTGTGTTTCAGTAAATTCAGTCCAACGTGAGATAGTTAAAAAAATTAAATTAAACAGAGCGCAGTCCCAGACTCTGCCAGAATCTGTATTTTTGTGTTTTGGGGGTTGTTTTTATCTGGTCTATTCTTTGTGAAAACCTCTAGTTTCTTTATTTTCTTGTGTTCAGTGGTTCCTCAGTGCTTCATACCATCAGTATTATTCCCCAGCCAGTATTTACTCCTCAGTCCTGCCATGCCCACTTACACCTGTTCACTTTGGGGCAGCTGTGGCAGAGTGGTTAGGGGAGTTGTCCTGGAACCAGTAGGTCACCGGTTCGATCCCCCGTCCAGCTGTCTCAGTTGTTGTGTGTTTGGGCAAGACACTTCACCCCTATTGCCTCTGATGTGTCCCATCAGTGTATAAATGTGATTGGCACTGGTTAGTCTCCATATATGATTGTAAATGTTATCTCTGTAGAGACCTAATAGAGTGCTGTGTGAATGGGTAAATGAGGACACAGATTGTAGTGTGAAGAGCTTTGAGTGTCTTGGATGGATAGAAAAGTGCTGTATGCGTACAGTCCATTTACCATTTTATTATTGGGTTATCTAACCTCCTCATCAGTCCCAGTCCTTACAGTCTCTTGTGGTTCCAATGCTGTCTGGGTGTCCTCTGTGACTGGCATTTTAGTTTTGAACATTTTTATTAAGTTGCCACTAGTGTTGTAGTACTCGAAACCTGTCTTTGTCTCGAAATTGATGGCAAGATGGTCTCATCTTGGACTTGACCACATTTGTCTTGTCTTGGTCTCAGACATTAGGGACTTGGGATTTTAAGTCAAGTCCAGTCAAACACACAACTGTAAAAATACCACGAAATTGCCAGAATAACATCCAGTTAGTTAACATCTTTGTTTTCATTGGATGGAAAAATCCAAACGTGACTCACTGCTAGTTATGTATTTTTGTTAATGCTGTCACCCTCTCTCATGCAGTGCTCCAAGAAAATGAGCAGTAGTTGTCTGGGAGCGGGAGAAGATATCTGAAAAATCTTCAGTAATACAATTCAGATACATGAATCATAAAGAATATATTTGTAAAACAAGGAGAAAGCAGAGACTTGTAAATTCTGCAGTGCTCCACTTTCAGAGATGGTAAAGATTGCCGTAGTTCCTTCCATTTTCTTCCTCTTATCTGGGGTCAGGTCTTGGGGGCAGCAGCCTCAGCAGAGACCCAGACTTCCCTCTCTCCAGACACTTGGACCAGCTCTTCTGGGGGAATCCCAAGGTGTTCCCAGGCCAGCTGAGAAACATAGTTCCTCCAGCGTGTCCTGGGTCTTCCTCTGGGTCTCCTCCCAGTGGGACGTGTCCAGAACACCTCACCAGGGAGGAGTCCAGGAGGCATCCTAACCAGATGAACCACCTCAACTGGCTCCTCTGGACGTGGAGGAGCAGCAGCTCTACTCTGAGTCCCTCCTGGATGACTGAGCTTCTCAGCCTATCTCTAAGGGAGAGCCCAGACACCCTGCGGAGGAAACTCATTTCAGCTGCTTGGATCTGTGATCTCCTTCTTTCAGTCACTACCCAAAGCTCCTGACCATAGATGAGGGTAGGAACGTAGACCGACCGGTAAACCTTCACCACAACAGACCGGTACAACGCCCACATCACTGCAGATGCAGCACCAATCCACCTGTTGATCTCCTGCTCCATTCTTCCCTCATTCATGAACAAGACCCTGAGATACTTAAACTCCTCCACTTGGGGCAGGACCTCCTCCCCAACCTGGAGGCAACACGCTACCAGTTTCCAGCTCAAGACCACGGTCTGGGATTTGGAGGCACTGAGCCTCATCCCATCTGTGAACCGCTCCAGTGAGAGCTGGAGATCAGGATCTGATGAAGCCAATAGAACCACATCATCCACAAAAAGCAGAGATGTGATCCTAAGGTCACCAAAAAGGTTCCCCTCAACACCTTGGCTGCTCCTAGAAATTCTGTCCATTAAAGTACTGAACAGAATTGGTGACAAAGGACAACCTTGGTGGAGTCCAACTCTCACCAGAAACGAGTCTGACTTACCACTGGTAATGTGGACCAAGCTCTGGCACCGGTCGTACAAGGACCTAACAGACCATATCAACGGGCCTGGTACCCCATAATCCCAGAATACCCCCCACAGGAGTCCCTGAGGAACATGGTCAAATGCCTTCTCCAAGTCCACAAAACACATGTAGACTGGTTGAACTCCCATGAACCCTCCAGGACCCTGCTGAGGGTGTAGAGCTGGTCCACTGTTCCACAACCAGGACCAAAAATGGACTGCTCTTCCTGAATTTGAGATTCGACTAACTGATGGACCCTCCTCTCCAAAACCCCTGAATAGACCTTACCAGGAAGGCTCAGAAGTGTGATCCCCCTATAGTTGGAACACACTCTGTGGTCCCCCTTTTTAAATAGGGGGACCACCACCCCGGTCTGCCAATCCAGGGGACCTGGAGACCGTGGTGGTGGTTTGTGTCAAATGTTTATCCTCACTTACAAAAGAAGTACAAAGAAAGGTAAGCTATGTGTAAGTGATGTTAGCAAAGCTAGCTAGGTAAGGTTAGAAATGAATCTGCCGCTGTACCAAAATTCTTTACCCGGACCTCACACAAGTATATTTAGTCAGTATTAGCTATTATCTATCAGTAGATTTAGTTAGTAGCATATTGTACTGTGTACAGTATTCTAAATCTTTTAGGGAACTAGTTTTTTTCCAAATCATGATCTTTATCCTGTCTCCCTCTCTCTTGGTCTTGGTCTCAACTTGGTCCAACCCCCTAAAAGTCTTGGTCTTGTCTCTGTCTCAAGACACCCTGGTCTTGGTCTTGACTTGGTCTCAAGCTACGTTGACTACAGCACCAGTTGCCACTATCTCAAACTCTTGTAAAAAAATGCATCCTTGGGTCCTACCTTCTAACTGACACTCTAAAGGCCTCAGTTAGCAGGAAAAGGTAAAATATGAAGACAATCAGAAAAAGACAACACATACAGTATGTCTTGTTTGAAGGAATGCAGTCAAAAGTCTCTTCTCTAAAAGAAACATGGCAGCACAACTTGGGCTTCTAACATTTCATTTGAATGAACAAGACTTCTGGAACAATGTCACTTGGGCTAAAGAGCCAAATTAGAGTTGTTTACCCACAATGACTCATCTACTACAGAAAGGCTAAAAGAGAAGAGTCAAAGTACAGACTTGAACCTGATTGAGACACCAATGCTTGCAAGCCTCAATAAACTGATACAATGTTGTAAACTAGAAGCACTCGGAGAGTGCAAACCTCTGCCAAGACCAATTCCCCCATCCTGTAAGAGTTAATGCACAACAGCAGAGATGAAACACATTTACTGAATAAGTTCTGACGTAGTGAACATTTAAGCAGCAGTATGATGGGATTTCTTCTCTGTGGAGTCCAATGTGAAAAAAACAGAAGTCAGACTGGTCACCTGACGTTATTCCTGGTCAAACTGGTGTGGGATTAAGCTCCTAAGTTTCCATCAGTCACATTTCACCATGTAAAACGTCTGTTTTATCTCCTTGTATGAGTTTGTAATGGTTTGACTCTCTTTATAAAGTGCTTCCTGGTACAGTCGGCTCATGAAGGTTTTTTTTAAGCGAGAAGCAAAATACAGCGTGTGAGCGCTTTCAGCACAAAGACTCTCACGAACTTCAGAGCAATCACACAATAAAGTTCTTATGTGGAGGGGGTACCAGGTTGATCAGCTGTTCCCGCGGACAGTCAAGTGGCTGCAGCAGGACCCTCCCGCTGTCTGTGTTCTGTTATTCCCCAAAATAAAAACCATTAAAACATTACCTACTCCCCCTTGGTGCACACACTCACACACTGCCTGGTCTAAAAACTAACCCGCTATCTTCCAAAATGCCGAAATGAATCTGTTCTCCTCCCATGTCCAAACTTTGAGGGCCGGCCAGAAGTTCTCTGCAAGCCTAGTACCAACAAACTGTTTTCATTGGTTGTTTCAGAAATGTGGTGTGTTTGAGGAAATGGGAAAAATAGGTTTCATGGTGCAGTCACGCACTTCCTGGTCACAAAACCTTCTGTAAATGTGCACCAAATGTGTAACAATGTGCACATTATGGCAAAAAGTATTCATTGTTAAATGTGGTTTTATATGGAAGTAAATAAAATTGCTGTTCAATCCAGTTCAAATGAACACTGAAAGCTCTCACTGTTTTTTACACAAGCCCTGTGAAAGCAGATTCTTGAGTAATGTTGTCCACAGACAGAACGACAGACATACGAGACTGAAAACATTAGCTCACCCCTTGGCGGAGGTAAAAAGAGTGGGACAAATGTACACAACTGTGTGGATGACTGATAAAATCACAGTAGCTGTGAGTAAGGAACGTTCTACAAGCTGTAGTACAGGGTCAACGTTCACACAGGTTCTCTATTTTAACTTTACGTTTTTAATAAACACGAATACGAATGTGTTGTGTTTTTGTACATGTGAAGTTAAATTTACTTAATTTTACAACCAAACATATTGAAAGGAGGCAGGCTGTCTGTACAGTTTTCTCTCTCTGAATGAGTATTTTGTATAAAATATGTTCATCAGTAGTGTTGTGGCTGTGGTCACTTTGCCTGAATCATGGTCTCAGCAGCTGCTCTTGCTCCTGGGGGTCCTGATGAAGAGCCACATTAGAGAAGCCTGAAGAGTGATTGTGTGAAAGTCAGAGGTCAGGTTTGGCTACAGAACAGCAGCCTGAGAGCTGGCAGGGATTTGTGAGTTTAAATGAAGGCTGCTGGATCTTTGAACCCTCCTCTACCCTCTGCAGTCCTGCTGCTCTCTTCTTCTTCCATCTCCTGCACTCAGTGAAGAGCAGTGACTCACCAGCAGACACGTTCTCGGACCAATTTAAAAGTTTTCGGAGCGCGACACGGGACTCTCCACAGTCTGATTGTCTGACGAGACCTGGCAGACAGCCAAAACAGGGACATTTTCTAAGAGACTCTTTCATTTTATCCATTCAGACTAAACGATTTTCAGCCAAACACTTGTTTGAGTTGGCAGCAGCAGACCGCCTCGAAATGTCCTTTCAGAATAAAGTCCATGAATGAAATAAGAGAAAAACTAACAAGTGAAATGATCTCATTAAGATTTGCTTGTGCTGAACGGAGTGTGTTGTGTTCTGCGTTTGGCCCAGTTGGCTGCCATCCTCACCAGCTGTGTGTGTGTTATTGTGTGAGTGCATGAGTGTGTGCATGTGTGCACACGTCCTGCTGTTCAGTGCTCTCTCTGACAGTGTCATCACTGTAGGCAGTGTTGTGTTTGAATGTGTGTTTGTTGCTTTAAACCCTCATGTAGGCAGAAACATGTCCTGAGGCCTCAGTCCTCTGACGGCAGCAGGGACACCTTTTAATGGGCACCGCAGCCCCCCCCCCCCCCCCCCCCCCCCCCCCCCCCCCACACACACACACACAGTTTCTCAAAGAAATAAAGACAACCTGTAACACACATGGTTTTCTACACACACAGTCACAGTGTGACCCCGTGGTCCATGTTTAATTATCAACTTGTTTTAACCTGAGGGAGGGATTCACACCAGCAACCACACTGTTGTTGCTCATTTCTTTTCCCTCCGCAGCTTCTTTCTGCTGCACGCTTCCTGTTTTCTCTCCTTTTCTTTGGTTTCACCTCCTCCTTCTCTTTTTCTGAGGATGAATAAGACAAGAAACAGCAGTTTTATATATTTTTTCTTCACTCTTCTCACCTTTCATCAGGTAAGGAGACCATTCTAAACGCAGTTTTCAGACAAAAATATCATTAAAAATTGAATCATAGCATACTATATATTTTGTACAACAGTTAAAATATCCAACCAAAAAACTACTGGTGTTTGAGGAGTTACATTAAACAGACAGGACGGGTTCACAACTCACTTAAAAACATCATTTATTCACTTCAAAATTATATTATTCATATTACAAAATCATTTTACTTCATTTCATACCTTAGCTCTAAACCTGATGTGAGGAGACAAGTGAATAATTAAACAAAAATTACATTTACAACACAAAATATGATTATATAAATATTAATATTGGCCTTATTCTAATATTTATTTTAGTTTAAGAGGAGGCATTTAGGAGGCAGTGTGGCTAAAACTAACCCTTTTCTTCAAACTAAGGTTGATCAGGAAGCTATCTATAACAGGTAAGATATTTGTTCATAACCTCCCCACTACACCCCATTTTAAAGTGTCTGAAGTATTACTTTAAAGATGTTAAAAAATATAAGCTTTAGTTTTTTTGTACTTTGTGAGTTTTCATTTCCAGATAAACTTCATGATTTGTTTTGTTTTTCTCATGAACTTCTTTTAGTTTTGATCTTTCTGCCATAAATGACACATTTTAGGGTGAGTGGATGAAATAAATGAAGTCAGCAGTCTATTCACATAAAAACACAGGCATATTTCATTGAGTAATTAGCAAACAATGAGTTTCCATTATTGTACAAAGTATGAGTCAGGAGAGTGGAAGTGATGAAGCAAASTTATGAAACTTATAAAACGAGCTACGGAGTGAAAATTAATGACAGTATTAGACCAGTGTGCTGAGAGTGCACAGAAACCAAAGCATGAAAAATTACATTAGCAGCTAGTAAATTAAACACAATTCATTTAATAATTAGTAATGCATAATGTACGAACCATTCATGTCAGGGTCGCTCAGTTTCTAACGTTCATCACTTCCTTCATGTTATTTTCCTGATCAGTGTGCTCAGCTGTGACTATCACACACATTAAAAGTCAACGAGGCCAAATTACAGCAGCACCTCTACATCCATCTTTCTGTCCACATTAAGGCTTTCTGCTCGTTTCCTTCATCCTGCCATGTTTTTAACAGAGTTTCCTCTTTCAGTTTATTCAGTTTTAGAAAGTAAAAACTGGATATATGTATATCTGCAACCAGCTAACTTCTGGAGTTCTTCCAACAGAAGATGGACGCCACAGCTAATCATCATTATCAACACTAAAATGACCAGTCCGTTTAGAGATGCTGAGCTACAACTATGTGCATTAGCTGATAGTCATTCACCACACACTGAGATAAGTAGAATTATATAAAGTAGGATTATTGTAACAGAGGAGTATGATCTGCTGGAAATAATCCTAAAAACAGCAGCTGATTCTCTTTACTCACCACTGTAAGAAAATTTTAGTGTTCATTAACTGAAGTCGAGACGAAAACACATAAATGTCGAATAAATTGAAATGTAAAAGGAATGAGGGCCATACAACACCAGTGACTGGATGTGAACGGTGGTTTAACCCCAGATTTATACTGCATGTGTCTCCGCTGCGCTGCGCTGCGCTGCGCTGCGCTGCGCAGGTCACAGCTGCACCGTTTCAAGTCCAGTTGACACCACCTCTGCTCCGACAGACGTACAGGAAGCAGATCATGTGATAAATTCAGTGATAAATGTTGAAGTCAGAGCAAAAAATAATTAATTCTGTGAAAGAAGAACTCCAAACAGCTGAAAACAACGATATAAAGACTTCTGGTTTCTATGTTGAAACTGTCT